AGTCTTGAGCGGGGTTATCATCTGTCGCACCCACGCTGCCTTCTACAACAGGAGGGGCCGAGAAGACGCTTGGAACCAGCACAAAGTTCAAAGGCTGACAAGTCGGTATTAAAACATGAGAAGGAGTTTCCAGTCCTTGTAAAGCTTCTAAACGTTTTGACACCTGCTAATGCTGTAAGCAAACATTACAGTATGAAAGGCTATTAAAGAATTACCCTACTCCTGAGCACATCTCAAAAAAAAAGAGCAGTGCCTCCTTTATGACTGCCCAGGCACTGGTTAAGGCATGGTGGGAGAGAAGGAACGAGCAGGTTGTATCATAAAGCATGTACAGCCAGGGCAGAATAAGAGTCGTATCATAAATGAGTCAAATAATAATAAATCCATCCTCTAACACTCAAGGGTTTGATGTTGCAACCTTAATAACATGCATTTGGCATGTCCTTTGGATAGTTATAGCAAGGCTCTCATTTATCATTAGAGCAGTATCTACCATTTTAGTCAAAAGAAACCTGCAGTATGCAGCAAATGACCAAAAGAAGCTGTTATCAGCTGCCTCAAGAGAACTGAAAATGCCTGTTGATTAGCATCATGGGCTGGTGTCAGCTGGAAGATGTCCTTGTTCCTTCCTTCTTCCTGTCCCTCCTCAAACCATGGAAAATCTGCTCAATGCAGCATCAATTGATGGAGAAGGACAGACTCAAGCTTAATAAATGTACTTGTTACATGAGTTCATTCAAATAACCAGGCTGTAAATATTTTGGACTTGTAGTCCTTAAAGCATAACCTCACCAAGAGAGATTATTAACAAAAAAAAAAATTAGCTAAACTAATTACAAAGCTTAAGACAAGTCATGGAAGAATAAATTATTTTGATTTGATTTGTTCAGTATCTCAGTCGTCAGAGAACTGAAGCTCTTTTCATACTAGAGAAATTTGTATTAATAATGTTACCCTATATGATAAGATTAAATTCAGCAGTCATAAATTTTAGTTCCGATCAATGTCAAAACTATATCCTAGAGTTTTCCATTCATTGTAATCACAGTAGCATAAATTCATTTCATGTAGTCAGTCTCTGAATTTATAGTTGATGGCTGATAATGCAAAAGGGAATTTTAAGAGTGCCAGTGTATGGAAAGCTCTCAGTTGGTTGTCCTGAAAGCAGTTATCTCACTCCACTGTAACAGAAACAGAAAACCAGAACCACTCTCTTCTCGCTAGCCACAGTGCCTGCTTTAAACATTTCCCCAAGTGCTCCTGACTCCCAATAAAAACAGGCACTGAACATTTTTATAGTCACAATCGACAGGTTTTGTTCAGATGCTAACTTAAGCCTTCATATTTCAGGAGACATACATCTGTAAGGCATTAAAAAGAAAGCCAGGGCAGAGATTAAAATGACTGTTCAATTTTCCATTAATACATACAAGATCTACAAAAAAATTATCATAGTTTCATTACCTGTCCAGTTGCCATAAGGTAGATCCATACCTGTAATCTAAAAATAATAAAAAAGAGCTTTTGATTTGACACACATGTTCAGGCTTTTTTTCCCCTGTATGAATTGAAGCAGAAAAACTATTTCAGTTTTATTTTCAACTGCACGTCACTTTTAACCTTCAATGAAGATAGTACCTTGTTTGAAATAACCCAGCACAGTTCTAGGTTAAGGTCAGCCCATGATCAAGACTTATTAGACTTATATTTTGTGGCTGCCACCATGTGGCAACAACATGTACTTCTGTTGTCATTCATACATGAATAAAATTGGAACTGAGCAATCCCATTTAATTATTTAATCATGCTGAAAGCCAGAGCCCCGATCTCAGAAATGTCATCATTTCATGATACCCTCTAGTGACAGGGGTTTTAAATGTGGGAAGGCATCCTCCCTCCCTGTAGATATTGGAAGTTCCTCTCTCCCCATTCCCTTCCATCTATAGATTGAATACTGACAATTATAATGCTTATACTCTAAAAGATTGTGGGTTTTTTTTTCCTCTTTAAGTAGATCTAAGGCAATCTGGAACTTTCTCAGCCTGTTGTGCCCTACTCAAACAGGCATTTGTTACTTTTCTTCCTACAATAATCCAACCAGACTACTTCATTACTGCTCCAAGTAATTACCAGAAGCTTTGGTATCTTCCCATTAGTTCTAACCCAACCTAAATAAGTACCATTTTATAAATATTGGCAATTCTGTGCTTGAAATACCCAACACACTACAGAGACATATGCTCTTGAAACTTGGTGATATTGAGAGCATAGTACCAATAAATATGAAATATCAGGGCAAAAGTTAATCTAATACACATCCACAAAACCTTCAAAAAGTGAAATACAAAAAAAGTGAAATACAAAAAAATTTAACAGCACTTTCATGCACACAACACAAAATGTGACACAGGCATCACCCTACCTGAAGATAAGCAAGTTGATAATCATTCAAATGATTCTGTTTTAAAGGGTGACACTAGTTTGACACTGCTTACACATTGCTTATGTTAGGATGAAACTTACAGAAGAGATAATGTTTTTCATGCTTCTCCAAAAATCGTTTATTTATAAGAGATACAAACCTTAATGGAATTAACACTGTATTTTCCAGTCAGATGCAGACCACTCTATACATACAGTATATACTTAGTCTGTACACCACACAGATGGAACAAAAATAAGATCTGTATGGACAGCAGGCAAGCCTGAAGAAGCAGAATCTGTCATCCTCACAAGAAACAGGAGGTGAGTTTAGGCCAGTGATGGCCTCTTGCTTGAAAAACCTTACAATTAATTGCTTCCTACCATGAGTTTAACAATCTGTCCAACAAAGAGTTCTCACTTGTGGCAGCGAGGCTATCTGCAGGGTAAAGTATTCTCAGCAGAAGCAGCAGTCTGCATCAAAGAAACAGATAAAAGTGCTTCCCTGCTCCAATGTCAGACAGTACAGAAAATCCTTTGAGCAATAGTAGATGTAACAGAAATTGCCTCAGAGAAGCATCTGAATGTATAATACTCTCATTACTTACAATATCGCCCTTTCGCTTCAAATTTCCCCAATTTTATTTTTAAAGTAATGATAATTTTATTGGTCTTAAATGGGCAGTTTCTTCCACTAATCATCCAGGATTTTATCAGTGAAAAGGAGGGAGCATGCTGTACTGTGCAAGGCTACCATGATTTAGAGTCCAGATTGCAGTATTTAAATAGCCTTGGCATTAACAGCAAACTGTCAGTGTAATTTCCAAGGCTACATAAGAAAAGGATGGAAGTAGGGTGCCTTAGGGAAGCTGAGAAAAGAAACTATCCAGTTACTGCAGCAAACTCAGGGAGAGCCTGAAGTGATGCAGTGCCAGGGACTGATGAGGTCCAACAGTCCTAAAAGCCCACACCTCAGTTTTCCCTTCCTCTGAAATGAGTTCTCTCAAATCAACCATTTTATAAGCACTGCCCCATGGTGAACTGTTCAGGTATTGGGCCATATATTTTCAGTGAAGGCAATGGACATTGATTTCCACCCCTTCCAATTTCAGTATTTGTATTAAAAGTCCTCTTCATTCCTAGGAGTGCAAAGTTCAAATGTTCTACCACAGCAATACCTCTGTTGCCAGTGAGCGTGCTGTTATTATGGTCACCATTCCTCATCCGTTATTAACAACACTGTAATGGATTGAAATTGTTCTCTGCAAAATGCTGATAAAACAGTTTTGAGGTCTACAGATGGCACTGGTGCTACAGTTAGGTCTATAACTTTCTCTAAGAAGGCATCTCTATACATACTTGCACATCCAGCTTTGAAACAAAGCCAACCTACAAGATACAGCTGTTTTCTAGGTTTGGAGAGACTATTTTTCTTCTGCTAAAACCATCCCTTCAGGGAATACTGCAACAAAAACAAAACACACTCACCAATACACCTCATCCAAACCTGCCATGAAGATCAGTGCATTCAGCAGCTCCTACGAAAAAACAATTCACACAGTTATCTACTTACTGTAAAAACTTCTATATTTATGTGTAAAAATAATTAAAAAAAATTAGTCATTTAGTCATTAGCTTGAACATAACTACCAAGCTTGTTACAAGATGCATGGTTAATACTATGATCTCTCTTTCTTTTTATTTGTTTCTCCTTTATGCATTCTTGACCCATTTCTTGGAATTATACTCTTTGAGGAGCTCCTTTTGAATCCGTTAAACTTTGCAAGATAGCTATGTAACAAGAAAAGAAATAGCTGAAAGGAAAATATTTTTTACTTGTCTTGAAACCAAGAATTTATTTCTTAGATTTTTACAAACATGATTTTAGAGACATGATAGAGAACAAAGTTTTCTATCCACACTAAAGAAATCAATGTATGTTCAGTATCTTCACAAAGCAAGTTTGGTTTCAGTATCAAAACGATATTCAGTTGGTCATGCACCATATTCTCCGGTCCTGTAAACTAATGTAACTTTTGAGCTATACCACTTTATATCATCTTCCAGAAACATTTGTAATAGATTACAACAATCTTCCTACACACCAGTTCAGGATCAAATTCCCCAGTTCAGTATTTCCCAATTTAACCTCTTGAAAAGCAACAAACAATAAAACCTCCTTTGGGGAGTTAGTGACTGTAGGTTATGACTGTCACAAGCAACCACATCATACAACTTCTTTCATAAACAGATCAAACAACTATTTTCCTTCTCTCCTAAGTCACTGGAAACTGGTTGCAGATCCCTGCTACTCTGAAGGGTAAAGCCTCGTCCCAGCTTTGGGAGTTTCAGGAGTCTCAATACATACAACTTCTCTTCAATTCCAAGTTAATTTTGAAGAAGGAGTCGGGGAGGGGGAGAAAAAAGTTCCATGTAAAAGTCTTCTAAAAAGCAGGATATTTCAGTGCCCCATTTCATTTACTTTAAATACAGTCTGACTGCGTGTTCCTTCAGTACAGCAGGGACTATCATCCAGCCACCCTTACTCCTTCAGAACCATATGAACATCCTTCACAAAGTGTTTTTGTTTGTTTAACTACGTGGATACACTCTCTTCACCTCCAAAGAAAGTTTAATTTTTCTTTCCCCTGGATAAATCCCCTGGATTCTGTGTTGGCCTTAAAATATTCCTGGTATGAGCCGGTAAGGCACTGCAGCAGTGTAGCGCTTCCAGTCCTTCCCATATTTGCTGAAACAACGGTGTTCATCCCTAATGCAACGATGAATTAGCAAAATAGTCATATAAACAATGTAGAAGTAAGGCAAGATGTGTTCAAACCCACAAGCCAGGCAATAGGCCAGGGAGCCCATCAAATCTCCGGTGTAGTTAAAATGACGAGCCCACCCCCAGAATCCTGAGGTCATCAGTTTGCTGTAGTACTTGGTCCCGTCCACAGACATGTAGGAGCACTCAATATACTCTGGTTTCTTCCCCCATATCTTGCAGTTGCCATTTGTACGACGGAAGAGGTCCTTCTGGTGGTTGGTTACTCTGAAGATGTAATAGCCGATCAAGCCCAGCATCAAGATCCCTATGGCATTAGCTGTGCCCAGCTGGACAGGGTGGTAAACCAAATACAAACCCTGGGGAGCAGAAAAAGAGACAATCGGTGATTTACTTTCAATACATGCTCAGGATGCCAGACTGATTCCTTGACCTACAGTGACCCAGAACAGATGAGTAGAAAGAATAGGAAAAAATCAACCCTAACAGTAAAACTGCAGAAAATTTTCAGAAAATTCTGCATCCTACATTTTCTTTCTTTCTCTCCAAAATTGTATTTCTTAGGTGGAACAAGAAGAGTGAAGTTGCAAGGAGGCAAACAAACCAGGACACAAGAAAAAACCAAACAAAACAACAAAAAAAAACAAACCCCAAAACAAAACAAAGAAACCACCACTCACTAAAAAGCCCTCAACATGCAGGACTATATAAAGCGACTGAAAGGATTTGGTAAAATATACAGACACAATAGACAGTGACAGAAAAAGGTACAAAAGAAGGGGAGGAGAGGAAAAGATGTCAATTCCATGCAGGGACAGTAAGCCTTCCTACAGGTGAATCATTACAAAGGATGTTGTAACGGTTCCTCAACATTCAAACTGTCTAGAAGCAATTTAAGACACAAATCAAACTGCTGGGGAGAATGTTTCTGGAAAGTTTCTTTCCTTTTAGCCCAAATGTGTATTGTACCCCATTTTTACCTGCAAAGTATAGAGGTAAGGCAACCAAACACAGTCTCCCCAGCCCAAATACCATCCAAAATGATCATGGCAGATATCAATGGTTTTCAAATACCAGGCTTCATTCCAAAAGAAGTCCAAAACATAAATACCCTGAAACAGAATAGTTTCACATGAATAACAGAGCACTGTCACCAGTTTTCCTGTTTAACAGCATCAGCCTAATCCTTCTGCGCTGTCTTGTGATAAGATCTTAAAACTGACTTGTGTTTTTATGTTACCACCTCAAAAATAGGATTTTAAGAGGAACATACCACACAAATATACTCTATCTATATAGGTAAAGCAATAATAAGTAATGCAAAACAATATTAACCAAGATGACTAAGGCAAGTATGCAAATTAAGGACATACACTTAGGAAGTGTACTCACATTTTACCACCCCTACCTCTCTTCAGCTTAAAGAGTTGTATACTTACAGAGAGGGGGAATAGAGCTTCTACCAAGTGGGCTCCCATTTACACATATCAATGAATAAATCCAAACTATTATCTGTACTTTGGAGTCTCTTCAGTAGAGAGCACAGCACCTGACTGGCTATTTTTAGGTGTGGAGACATCTGTGGTTCTGCACACAGGTTAGGTGCAGTGCTGCCCTCAGAAAAAAACATACCCAATCTTGCTCCAACTAAAGACATGGAATCTGTCATTGTTCTCTTTGGATTCAAGGTCAGGTTATGCCCATTTCCAGAACATAGCCTCAGAAAAGTACCTCTTAATTTAAGTTTACATGGAAATCTGCTGGTGCAGACATGACTGTGCCACTGGTGGCACTCTGAATGCATACAGCAGTGTATACAGTGGCACTCCGAATGAATCCAAGTGTCCAAAGAACTGAATACAAGTGTCCACAGAAGCAAGTCCCAGTGCATCATCACTGAATATGGTCGTTCAAGGCCAGGAAAAACTGTGTAAGTTCAATTTCAATGTAAGGAGTTTCTTCTACTTTAATACTAGTTTACTTCCAAATTGGTTTCTTATTTTCCTCCTCCAAATTTACCTGAAGGACGTTGACAAGGATCATGGAGTTGGTTACTTGACCATACAGCTCCTGTTGTTTAGCAGCGTAGGAAAGGTTAATTAGAGTCCAGGCTACAATACCAGGGCGCCCATTGAAGAACAGCTTGAAATCAAACCACTTTCCTATCCGAGGGTTAAATTCAATCCCCATCATGTAGTCATAAAAGAAGTTGCCAGTGAATTTGCTAGAAAGCATAAAAAGTAAGAAATGTACACAGTTACACACAAATACAGGTAATTACTATTCTGAATACACATTTCAGATTCACTTCATGTAATGATAATAAAAATCATACAACCATATAATGTTGTGCAAGATAACACAAATTGATCCAACCAAAGCATTACATTAGAAGAGATAAATTCTAGCTTCAGAGGTATCCTAGTTTATTCTTGGTAATGCTTTGGAACAGTCTAACTATAACCTTCCATCCATCCTATTTATGACAAGTAAGTACCTGTGACACTGAGGCTGCGAGTTACATGATATGTAGCATGAAACAGAGGATGGTGCTAATGAAGCAAAGGGCCACAGTCATACATTATCTGGGCCAGTAAAATATATTCTGTCATTAGTATTGTGTGCAGCATTCAATTTATATGTCTGATTACCTAGTATTCGCTCATTATTAAAAAAATCACATACCAGTCTTTGGCATTGGTAGGGAAATAGTAGCTTTTGATCATTGCAAATGTGGAAACTGCATATCCCAGGATATTGGCACACCACAGCAGAGGAATCCAGTTGTCAAAAATGATGGTGGGTGAGAACCAGTGGAAATAATAGGCATTTGCAAACCAAAGCACATGGGTAATGATCCAAGCCTGAAGTCCATTGATTTCATACTTATTCACTACACCTAAAATATGAAGAAAAAGTTTAATGTTACTGACATTGCATTAGTACAGCTTTTAATTAATATGGCTATGCATGCAATACACAGAAGCTCAATCAAGCGCTCATTAAATGACCTTACTCTCCTCACCCTCCTAATTAAACAACTTGTGGCAGTTTTCTGAAAGTTTCATTAGACTCTGCTGTAACCATCAGGCTTTGTTAGGCTGAGTTTTTCTCTTCACTCTCGCTTCACAAAACAGTGAATTTGGAGTCTCCCCTAAAATTGACTACGGTAACAAGTTACCCTTTGTCACACTTAGTTCCCACCACGGATTTTGTTCAAGTCTCCTGGGTTAACTTCGCTTCAGCGGGTACAACTGCATTGACAAATACTAGCAATAGTTCACTGCTGATTTTAAATGCCAAAATCTGTATTTTTCCATTGCTTGTGTGGTGCCAGCCCTATCAGTAGTTTTACTAACAGTAAGAGATAGAAGTTCTATCATTTATTCTAATAGATGATGTAGATTGTTTTCATTTTTGTTTGAAGCAAACAATGAAGAAGGTGAAAGCATTTATGTCCACATTTCCTCCAGGTACATATGGGTTATTAAAGACTGTAAGTACAGAAATACTATCATTTTGAAAGATTGTATGGTGTGCATATATTCTAAGGAAGAACTTACCAGCAGGGGTGACAGCACCTTCTTGGACACCTCCTACATATCCAGGAATAAATTTATGGCAGAAGTCAGGAATGAACATATACAAAATCACCTAGAAGAGAGAGATTGTATTAACAGCAAAAACACACAAGACAAAACCCAAAAAACCTACCATCCCTTTCATACACATACTAAATATAACACAAGTCAGTTTCAGTTAAGTATTGGATAGCAAACAGGGCAAGATTTAGCTGTTGTGATTTTAGACTAGTAATATGCCCAAGCTATTAAACAATTCTAAAGATGTACTCCATGTATGGTTGTCACCCTTTTTTGATGGGGAAGCAGGACAGTTGGTAACTCGATTCAGGTCCCTATCCTTTTATTTTGAAGTTAATCCGTGTTATACATGTTTTCCAATTTGGAAAAATAATGGAGTAGTTTGGTACATTTGAAGATATTTTACAAATATTAGTTATATTTTATAGGTCAATGTTCTTTTACTGTCTTGTCTATAGAAAATATCACCCCTTTTGCAGTGTTAGTTTATGATACATTTATTGTGTATTAATTTAAAGCAAATGAGTATTGCTACATAGTTGCTTTTTCTTAAAAGCCATGACAAGGAGCATGTCACACAAGCAATATCATACAAAGAATATTTGTGTATATTCCCTACATATTTATTTTCCAAGTGCATAAGCTTCATTTAGATTCCAAAAAGCCCTGGAAAGTGAGACACATGAAAGAGTAAATGCCAGTGTGACATTCCATTATCCTTTGTGTCAAAGGATTCACCAAACAGCTGTTTGAAACACCAGCCACTACATCTCGATAGCTCAGTAACATACCTGGAACGTGACCCAGAGGATATAGATGCCAGCAGCCCTATAGGACAGTGTAGGAGTCTTGTTCCAGATGTCAGACAGATGTTTATTCCCCGTGAGCAAGTCAGTGACTGGATCAATCAGAGAGCACTGGTACTGGTCACAGGACATTATGAAGTAATATACGATAAGGGGTGCAAACATGAGCAGGAAAAGGATGCTTGCCAAGGAAAACCAGTCCACCTCCCTGTAATCCAAAACAGAGCAATTTTTTTTTCCCCCAGTTTTCAGTTAGAACAGTGGCTTAATTAAGTCAGTCAATTTTTTCAGTGGACCTTCCAGACTAACCAAATGAAAACTGAAAATGTTTTCAGGGCATATAGATTTCTTTGGGTCAAACAGCTATAAAAAAAACCTCAGTATGTTCCATACTTTACCACAAACTGTTATAAAACTATGCTAATTGATCAGAACAACAGAATAGATAATACCTCCCCTCCAAAAAGCAGATTATTATTATTATTTTTGATGGCAATCATGGGCATAACTGGTAAAGTGTTCAGTTGGAAGTGGTAATAGAATCACAGGAACATTATGCAAAACTTGGAAATACAGAAAAGACAGACCCTGGACAGCCAGAAGTTGAACTTGCTCTACCACACAGTGTCTGTGGTGGGAAGCCATCTAAACACCCCTGGCTGTTTCCAGCTGCAATACAATACTCTACTAGTATTTGCACAACTCTTTGAGAACAGGGAGATGAGTCATAAATCTTGCTACAGCAGGAGATGTAGAAATGTCCAGAAAGATGCCTGTTTTCTAAATCTCAAGAAATATTTTCTTCAGTCTTGAAAGAAATACAAATTTTACTGATTTTTATGATTTGTTTTCCTTTTTTGCAAGGAGGACTGTGTTTTAACCCAAGATATCTGTCAAGCTCTTTATTCCAAAAATCTTGAAGAATTCTTCTTTGGCATCTGTTACTACAGCTCATTATCCACGAGCTTTCAATGGAAGGGCAATGTAACAACCTGTTATTAATAGACTGAAGTTTAAAAGGAATGTAGCATCTATGAAAGCAAGTGTGAACCAATTTGAAATATAATGACTAATTAAGATCATCAGCTTCTCTCACCATGCTCTTCCCCACTGGCCTTGAGATGTCCGAGTATTATTTTGGGTGCTTTTGCGGTTTCTTTCTTCAGAATGTTTTTTCTCTTGTCGGGCTGCCATGATGTCCTGCATGAAAGAAAATACTCACAGTATTACTCTGTTTATTTCTCAGTAATTTTTATGGCTCTACAAAAGAGAAAAATAAAAGTTATTAAAAACTATGATACAGCTCTCTGATTAAAAGAAATTTGTGGGAGGAGGGTAGGAAGGAAAAAATCTTTCGCAATTCCTTATGATCTAACATTCAGCAAAACATAACCAAACCACCAATGTCACAGTAATCCATTAAACTTCGGCTAACTGGAACTTTCTTTTGAGGTATATTGCATAATACGTGGCTTATTACTTCCATGGGAGATGCAAAGGTACAAAACTGTTTTGCCACCTTCTTCTAAACCTCTTAAAATAAAGTTCTGAAACTAACTGCCTTGCCTAATTAGAGAAATTGCTACTGTTGTAACATTACATGTACTGGACCTTGACAAATATAAGTGCTTTTCCCAGCCCCATTGCTCCATTCTTGCCAACTCTTACAAGGAACAGTTACAATACTAGTAAGAATTTTGCCAAGATAGAAAGGCTGTTATTAAGGAATCATCAGAATGGGAAATATTTAGGTCAGATGAAACCTTTGATGTCATTTAGTCTAACCCAACTTAATCCTGCTGACAAGCAAGGACAACTTAGAACAGGTGGCTCAGAGCCTTGTCCAGTTAAATTTTGAATATTTCCAAGAATTCCACATGATTTGTCAGTCCTACTGAGAAAATGGGCCTCTTTTCTAAGAGACCCAGAAAAGAAATCTTAGGTTGAGAATTTTCATGGTGTTCAGTTTTATTTTAGGCTCTTAAGTAGCCAAATACCCCAGCCATTTTGCAGAGCTCAGCAGACTAGATTTGTAAACTCTGCTCAATCTGCTGAGCAGTCATAAAAAGTCTGCCTGCAGCTGGAAGCACCTGGGATTTTGTGCAAGACACACCCACACACAAACACACACATAGTTTATCATTAATCCTATCAGACAGCACAGAGAAAGGATCATCATCTAATTAATAAACTGGGAACCGGCTAGATGAGAAAGGCCGGCATTCAGCAGGTTGCATGTGGGATACACCCTATTTAAAGGCCAACAATTGCCATTAAGTTTTCCCTTTCTACAGAGCAACTTTAACAACAAGTGCCTGCTTAGGACTGTTCCCTTGAACAGATACACCCCAGTCTGGCAGACAGCTCTGCTGGCAGTAACATCCTCTCATGTTTAGAACTATTCCCACGCCACTGGATCAAGGCTCCCACTGAAATCACACTCCTATTAGTGATTATTTCAACTTGTATAAAGGCAAGCTTCCTATTACCCCACTAAACACGCCCCAAATGTTGCTTTCCTAAACCTTTGGTCAGGTTCTTAAGAAGGGCCTGAAGCAAAATTCACAATTCAAATATCACCTGCACAGAGAACTCCAGAGATTCACTCTTCCTCTGAGTCCAAACTCCAGGGCTTAATGAGGAAGGTCTGCATTACTGCTCACACTTGTGTCAAAGAAATAATCATGCCAACCATGCAATTCATTTGGAAGCTCTTCTCATTTCGTGCCTAAGTCACATATCTGATGTATAGTTCACAGAGTAAAGTTCACACAGTAATTTCAAGTATATATAATATATATGTTTGATGCTTTTAATCAGCATAGAATCACAGAATCATTTAGGTTGGAAAAGACCTTTAAGATCATTAAGTCCAAGCATAAACTGAACACTGACAAGTCCACCACTAAACACGCTCTGGACTTACTGAAGAGAATCTTGATCAAGCGTGGCAAAAAAAAAAACTCATTTAGATTTTGACCCACAAAAATAGGCAGAGTTCTGTTCATGAATATGTATTTTAAAGGAAAATCCCTATCTGATGTGCAACATTCCAGAGAGCCCCATGTTTTGCAGAGGAGAGCAGCACCTTCCCTCACGCCAGACACGGGTACCTCGGGGAGCATTACCGGGGGCAGGAGGGACCCGCAAATTAGGAACAACCTGCGGGCTCAGGAGGCACTTACCGAACCCGCCAGCCC